ATGAAGATTTTGTTGTTGTGAGATACCACAAGCCTACGCTAATATTTTCCAATCAACTTTTAAAGAAGTACAAATGCACAATAGATTGGAATACTAATGAGCTGAAGATTCTCCTTAATGGAAAAGATTATATCTTTCCAATCACTATGCATAAGGTCAAGAATAAGCTTAAGGTGAATTGCGCGAACATTACTCCTGAATGTGATGCTTTCTCAACTCCAGATAGAATTTTGCAAGACTTGCAGGACTTAAGTGAGGATAATATATTAAAAAAAAGTGAGCTATGAGGGTATGGCAACTCGTATAAAAGAGCTTGAGAAGAAACTTTCTAATGCTATCAAGTTTAATGCAGAAATCAGTGAGTTTTGCAAAAGTCTTCTTGGGGAATAGTCGAGTTATTTTCAGGATAACGCTTCTTTTTTTCATCTATAATTTTTGTACTTTCTTTGACCATCTTCTCATAGGATGCATCCAAATTTTCATTATCTATATCCTTCTCTGAAGCCTGGATTAGCTGAGTCTAAATACTCAATGGTTCAGAAATCTGAACAGACTTTGATTTCTTTCTTCCAGTCTTTTTCGCCTTATCGTCTAAAATAACACTCCCTTCTGAAGCTAAATCAGTAGATTTACCAGGCTCAACATTAACATTGCATATCTTTTTTTCCAGTTTTGTAAAGGGGGATGTATTTTGGTTATGTATATCTGATTTAATCTGTTCTATCTTATTAGTTTGGGAATTCTCATCCAAAACCCGGGTCAGCTGACTGGAGAAAAATGAATTAACTATTTGCTAAAGGCGCTCTTTATTATCCCATATTTCATAAATACGCTTAAAACCAATATGAAATTTATCAGCTATTTTTTTTGATGCATTGGATATTTTACCTCTAGATTCTCTAATTTCCTTGATATCATCATCCGATAATAGGGTTGCCTTAGCATCATAAAATGTATCATGGATTCAGACTACCATCTTCACTAGATTTTTATATTAGAAAAAAATATTAATGCTTTTCAATAAAATATCAATGTGTATCAATGTATATGTATCAATACTTTTTTAATATATATTAATATTTTTCAATGTATATCAATGCTTTTCAATATGTATTAAGATGTTTTCAATACCTACCAATATATATTAATACTCTTCAATATTTATTAATATATTTCAATACCTACCAATATGTATCAATATGCTAGCATTTATAAAAAAATAAAGTGCTTCTGAAATTTTTAGGACTATGCGGTCTCAAAAAAATGCAACATATTTTTTTCTGTTATATAACCATGCCAATATTATGTTCAATGTATGTACACTAAAAGATATAAAAGATAGAGGACATCTGTTAGGTAATATATATGAGCAAGAGCTCAAAAAAAAATTAAGATCCACTATTGATTTTAACTCTGAAATTATTGACTTTAATGAAAAGTTGAAGGCTAAAAATTCAGAGTATTCAGGGTGAGAAAAGGAGTTTCAGCGATTCCATGCTGATATCGGAAATAAGGTTAGCCAGCTAAATAGTGCAAATACTAAGCTTACATCCCAAATTACTTATGAACGGATGTCCCGTATTGAGCTTGAAGCCAAATATTCTGCTGAAATCAAATCGCTCAAATCCAATATTAAAATACTAAAGAGAGAGGCGACTTTAGTGCAGAAAGCTTCATCCGCTGACAAGGTCAAGATCCTTTCTCTTGAAGCTAAGGTAGTTGAATTGGAAGATAAGTTGCTATATCTGGAACTAGAACCTGATTCGCATATATTGGGAGGACTACTAGAGGAGCCGGCCTGAATAGACTCATCTGATCCTAAAGAGATCGATTCACTTAGGTTTGAATTGGAGCAAGTGAGAGATGATTTATCCTCAAAAAAATACGAAATAGAATGTATAGAAAAGGAAATAGAGTCCTCAAAAACATATACAATCAGACGATAGATTCTTTATTTTCAGCACGGTCAAATTTACTGGAGAAAAACGCTCATCTTCAAAAATTACTGTCGAAAAAAGAGCCAAGAGGCATTTCGCATAATAAAGTAGATACTCCACCCCTATCTATGAATAATTTTTCATAAACTTCCGCTCTTAATTCTCCTACATTTCAGACAATTTCTGTGGGTGGCACAGAAGCAGTTTCAGCTATCCCTATTATTGCGGACTCCTTAATGTCACTAATATTAATATATATTATGCTTACCTTATTACTTCTCACAATTATATGGCTCGTAATCAGGAAAAGGATATGGGATACATGGAAAAAAGTAATATTGAGTATTCTCATAACTGGAACTATTTTTTATCATCTTCAGACATTTTCTGGGGTCAGGCTGTATGATTGGAGACCAGAACTTTAGAGTGATTATCCTAGGCCAGAAGTTCGAAGATAGGAATTGAAGTTAGCTGGTATTATTACATCAGAAAAAATATGTAAATAATATTATGTGAAGCGTCTTAATGGCTAAATATTCTAGTGGAGGTGTGGCAATTTCAGCTAAAAGTACTTAATTATATAGTTAGGTAGTTTTGGGTGAATTCTCAAAATACCTAGAAAGTTTATTGAAGACTCTTGATATATTTAATAAGCCAGTTTTTTGCCTTTTTCTGAGAATATTTATCGATCTGTTTTTCTCTTATATCTGAATCTTTAATCTGCATTATTTTATCTGATGAGGGTGGTAGGAACATATTATCCTCATTGATGAAACGTACACACATTCCTACTGTTTGTTCTAAATAGTGTCTAATATCTATCTTCATATTAAACTCTTTTGCAATTTCTGGAAACTCCATATAATCACCCTTTTTTATCGATTTTGAACCATCTTTTTTATAACGAAGGCTATCATTCACAACGATATAGCTAAAGTGTTCGCTAGAATCAGGGATCTTTATATTTTTTTCTCTACTTGCTATTCTTTCTCTCATCCGCCCTATAAAGATTTTATTGTATGTGAGGCCTCCTTTAGTCTTCCATTTAGACATTGCAATAAATTGATTAAAATCTCACTGCTTAAATCTAGCATCCCGGAGAGTATCTTCAACAATTTTATGAATTGAACGTGTGTTATTGATACCCATTGCCTCCCACATAATCTTTTCTCTGATAAACCTTAAGAGCTCAGAATTCCCTTGCTTCACAGTATCAATTCCTCTCATAAAGAGATCATTTGGCCTAAAATTAACCACATC